GTGTGTGGGTCGACAGAACCAAGGGAGGGATATTGTCCATAGCCTCAAGGGAGGGATCTGGTGTGTCCATAGCCTCAGGGGAGGGATCTATATTGTCCGTTCTAGACACTCAAGGACTTGAAGGAAGCCAAGACTGTCTATCCCGGGTACTGTGCGCTTTAGGAGAAAAGGGGGGGAATGTAACGACGAGACGCCGTTACTGCTATTTATTAAATGGCATTAATTATATAAGTGTTCACCCCTCATCTTGTCTGTTTTTTCCGGTCGTCTCTGTGTTCCCTCCTGCTGATTACCCAATTGTGTTCACCTGGTGCCCTGTGTTTGCTCCTCCCCCCTCACCTGTGTCTAATTGCTCCCCCCTCACCTGTGTCTTGTTAGTCTGTGTATTTAGGTGCTGTTTCTTGTTGGGAGTAGTGGGTGTGTGAGATCCTGGTGGCTGCAGGCTGGGCTCGTGTGAACAGCAGCAGGATTGAGGCTGTGTGTGAACTTTTTGAACATTGTTTTAATAAATGCCCAAGTCGGGTTATATTTTTGGACGTTCTGCCTCTGCCTCCTTGCTTGGTCGGGCCGCTCAACGGTCAGTGTCACAGGTTCACAGACACTTAGTGGATTTGTATGCTTCCAGTTGGACATAAGAGCTATGGGAATCAATGAATGAGCTGTGGCTAATGCTAACATTAGTAGTTTAACTAGAGAGACAAGGACATTAGCCCTGAGGGTAAAACAGAGCATGTCTAATTAAATTAGACAAATAAGTCCTAATGGAGCACTGCAGGGGACGTTCCTCTTTAACTGTAAACACAATCAACTGTGAAAATGTCAATCTCATACCTGTGGTTGTATTCATTTGCAAGTAAGATGATGGCATGTGTTTTGTCAAAAAAGTAGTTAACTATTTTTCAATAAAGATCTAGCATTCCTAGGAAAGGACAAGTTTACCTTGTCTGGTAATTATTATCTTCACTGTCAATTTCAACAAGGCTGCAACTCAGACCCGGCACCAGAACCAATCTACTGAGAGGGCATATGATTTTCATGGGAGGGCACACAAAACCGTCATGTGCTGCGGCCAGTGGCGGCGCCGGAGATTTTCTTTTAGGGGTGCTGTGGGGGACGTTTCATAGAGGCTGCTCAAACATTTAGGGTTTCCCATTAATGTACCGGGCGCTACAGGGGAATGTTCTACTCTACTGCAACACTCCCCACACACACATACACAGTACACCCGCGACTGTTACAATGAAGGCTCGATTATCAGCTCACGGCATATAGGTGTAAGTGGGGGGCGGACTTCACCTCCTCTAGAGGGGTCCAAAGGACATGCTCCCCTGGGAAGATTTATTTTTTAATATTGAAGTTAAAAGCATCAATCTGGTGCACTTTGAGAGCAAAAGGAAGAGATCTATGGATACATCTCTCAACACCCATATGAAACAGAAGTGTAAACCGATTTTCTTTTTCTTTATGGATATTTTACAAATCACTATAAACTCTATTCTTGTTTTACTGTAATATAGTATTTCATACCTGATTTTCATTTATTACTCTTATATTACTATCTGATATCACATACATCGTAGCCTGTCCCTCCCACGGCGCCGGGTCTGCTGCAACCAACTATTATTTACTTAGCGATTGATTTTTGGATTCATTTATAAATAGTCGGAATAGAAAATATTGAAAATGTCAAACCTACTTCCTGAAAGACAAAGGTGATGTCTTCTAAATGTCTTGTTTTGTCTTATAGCCAAAGATATTCAGTTTAATATGATGTACAAAGAAAATAATACAAATATCCCTATTTCTAAAAGCAGCATTTTCCGGCTTTTTTATAATGAAAAATAACCATACGGAGCTGTCAACTAAAAAAGAGTGATTTGTGGGAATAGATTAATAACACATCAGTTGACTGATCTTTGCAGGACTCATCACTCTGGTTGGTCTCTTTTTTTCTCTCTGCTGATGTGACCACCTGTTAACTCCCAACTTCCACGTAAACCTTTAACTTCTTTTAACAAGGCAGTAACACTGTGCGGAGCCTCCTCTTGTCTCCGTCTACCTGCCTCTTGTTCCTGTGTTTGTGTGCAAGTGCTCTCACTCCCTCCCTGTATATTTATGAGTATGTTGAAGTATTTGCGTGTGTGTGTCCACAAAGCTACTGTCTCCATTCAACTGTCTGTGAGAATGTTGCAGTGTCTGCATGCTTGTGCACATGCTTTATTGTGTTGGTCTCCTCGTCCATGCATAGAGAGGAGACAAAGTGTGTTGAGAAAGCAGTAACGGTGTTGGCGGCCGTGGTGGACGTGGTGGAGGGGGAGGGGGAGGCGGGGTGGAGACGAGCTTCAGCCTGCAAGCCCCAGACGGGCTGGCTCCGGAGGGGCTGCACCCAGGCACAGAGCTGCCTTTGTCAGGGTAATTATCCTGACGCTCACCCTGCGCTGGTGGAGCTACTGGTTGGTACTGGAGGCGGCTAACGCACTAGCGCCACCACTCATCACTGGGGGAAAGCTGTCAGTGTAGGAACATCAACTCATGTTTATGCACGTATTGTATCTATGGAGCATTTTGCATTTTCTTACTAAACTAAATAATTGAACTTCATCCGTGTCGTAGAAATCAACAGAGGTGGAAGAAGTACTCAGATCTTGTACTTAGGTAAAAGTACAAGTACCAGAGTGTAGGAAAGTCCTGTAATCAAAATGTTACGTAAGTTGAAGTACAAAAGTATAAGCATCAAAAACATAATTGCAATGGAGTAGAATGACAAAGTAGCAAAGATTGAAATACTCAAGTAAAGAACAAGTCTCTCAAAATTGTTCTTGAATACAGTACTAGAACTATTTTGAAATGAAATGTACTTAGTTACTTTACACCACTGGGAATCAATACACACTCTCAGCTGCCGCCGCTCTGCCACTGTATCACCCAACAACATCACCCTGGTATGAACGTTTTACTCCCAGCCCCTGTGACGCTGCTTGTCTGTCCTGCCTCGTTAGAATCTCACAGCTTTCAGCAGCAAACAAGAGGGACAGACAGACAGACGGACAGACAAGAAGTGCCTGAGAAAAGAAAGGGAAAGAGATAGCCCAGGTGTGTGTGTGTGTGTGTGTGTGTGTGTGTGTGTGTGTGTGTGTGTGTGTGTGTGTGTGTGTGTGTGGAGGAACCAAAGGATTATCCCATAGGAGTTCAATTAAGCCTGTCCTAAACAGGGACACCCCGCCCGGCGCTCTAAACTCCTGCCTGTACTGCTGTATCAAGACGCTGGCAGCGGGCCAACAGGCTTGAAATACAGCAGGAAACTCAATAGGCCTGATGATATAGTGTGTTTACAGTGGCAGACACAGAGTCATCTTCGTCAGCCAGTCTGTCTTTCTCTGCGCTTTTCTTTTCTTTTCTGTCAGCCTTGCTTCTGGAGCCCCCCTCCCTCACCTGCTGCTCACGACACATATCGTTTGCATATGGAGAGACATGATGTGTTTGACATGTTGTGGTCGGCACTTCACTCTGACATAAGAGCTTCGGGAGTCTTTTGGAAGAAATGTCTTTGGCAGTAACATCAGTTGAGGCTTTAAAAGCTGCTTTGTGAACAGACTGTTACATATTGTGGCTTATAAAAAAAAACAATCCATCTTCAGAGACCAGAGCGACCTTTACTCTGTCTCTGCTCTACTTACTAAAGGTTTAACTCTTTATATACATGAGCTAACATCTCGCTTTTCCCCTGTGTGTCTTGCTCTAGGGTTCAAAGGCTTGTTTCCTGCGGGACATCCCATTCTCAGCCATCTACTTCCCCTGCTACGCCCACCTTAAGGCTCACTTCTCTGAGGAGGACGGCAGGATAGGGCCGGCCAAGATGCTCCTGGCTGGAGCGCTGGCAGGTAAAATACTTCAGCCTGTTATTCTGAACAGAAAAATTGAGAAGTAGGATAATAATAATAATCATTTCAATTTGTATAGCGCCTTTCGCGAAACCCAAGGACGCTTTACAATGGGGAACAAAACAAAACAACAAAGTAATAATAAACAGGTTGAAAAAAAAACTAGGATAAAGTTAAAAACCTTCCAGAGGCAGGGAGCTCCACTCATCGTTGGCAAAAGTCTGCCGAAAGACACAAAATGACACATCTCCACAAATGTCATTGCACATACCACACACATATTAACGGTACAAAGCAGGTGGAGAATGTGCAAAGTTTCCCTTTTAAACCATACTGATTATAAGATCATTCTCACACAATCAAAATCAAACCATCGATGAGCCCTTTCACATACAAATAGCCACGTAAATATAAAGATATTGATTATACTAGCGTTCAAATGTAATCTAATGCATTGTGATCATCCGTAATGAGCCGTTGTGAAAAAGCCTAATCTAGACCCCCAATAGAAAAATGCAATAAAATCTCAACCTTTGTAATTCAGTCTGTTACTATCTGCATTACTGCAAACATCTCGAAACATAACTCTCAGGGTTTATGAATCTCATGATGCCAGGCCACATAATTAACAATCTTATGTTGCATTTTAAAGGTGTAGCAATTTTCACTACCTGAAAAAACACCATTCTATCTCGAGTGTCTTGACATTTTTGCCAAATCATCATCAACACATCCCCCTGGTTCAATGAGCAGAGCACTAAAGCTTAAAACAATTCTTGGTGGGGTCCACTTTTTCCGTCTTTTAACAGAGTGTGAGAGCAGGTCTCACTCGGCTCTCGCCTCAGACCTGCAGAGCTCAGTTTGGAGCCAGCAGCTCCGACCGCAGGCTCCACGACGGTAGCTGCTAATTAGAGCGCTGCGCGGTGATGGGGACGGGGTTTGGAGCTCTGCAGCGGGGACGCGCCTCAGATTCCAACACGGCTCGCAGGGAAGCGTTCCAATCCTAATACACTGTACATACATACACAGATGTTTGTGCATACTTTATGCTTGTTCTCCCAGCAGGAATGCATACAGTCCTGTCTGTAGGTTATAACTGAGCAAAGAGGCCAAACATCCACTGATTACATAACAAGTTTATCATCATAATATGATCCGAAGGAAAGTTTAAATGCTTGATTTACCGATAAAGTAAACACTCTTAACAGACCAGCACTCCTCTGCGAGTTAAAAGGCTTCGGGAACATTTGCATAAAATACTTATTTGCTGAGATGTGTCAGCGGCGCTCTCTTTTCGACACAGAGACACAGCACAACATGGAAAAATCATAAATCCTGCCTCCCTCCTCCATTTTTACTCCGGTCCCTCACCACAGGACTGGCAGCCACGGCCCACAGACTCCGAGCTGAAACCAGCCTCATGATTTCTTTTTTTTCTTTCGTTACTTCAACACATTTATCATCCCTCTTTCACATGTATTTATCAGCGGTTACAGCATTCTGGCAATTAGTGTTTTACAGTCGGCACAGGAAATTGAATTACACGCTCAGTTTGCACAGCATTATTTAACTAGGCATTACTCTGGTCTGGGAAGAGGGACATCTCTAACTCATGTGAAATCTGTATGTGAGAGAGTTATGGAGGGAATGTGTGGTCTTATTCACTGTGAGCAGCAGTACACATGTTCAGTCTTTAGTCATATACCATCAACAACAATGGGTAATCATCTATTCTTAAATTCTTAAATCTGAATGTTTTTTTCTTTTTTTTGTTTCAGATCAATGCTAAAGGTACCCTGTAGAGTTTTGACCACTAGTCTCACAGCCATAATGTGTTTTTTTGTTGTTTGCAATTTTACAGCTTTGTTTCCATCGGCCACAAACAAATAATATCAATACAAAAGCATGCAACCAATGATTCAATCTCTGCCATGGCTTTCATGGAGTAACCTTTGACAAATCAGACTTCTACCTCGCTATTTCTTCCGGAAGGCTGTTCCCTTATTTTGGAGTTATTTCTAATCTAATTTGAGAAAAAGTTCTGGTTTATAGTGTGCAGACTTTAAAGCCCCTTCAGGAAAATGAGGGGTATAGGGTATATAATTATTCACTATTCATATTCACGATACAACCCACTGTTTTAAGACACAACAATATGTCATCTGTAATGAAAAGAACAGTGTTAGTGCTGTACACTGGGGAAACACCTGTTAAAGGCTAAATGAAGTGGTACCAACACAATATCCTGTTGCCACATTAAAAAAAGTGCATAATTAATATTATATGACATCCCACTGTGCCATTATCCTGCAAGTGTCTGAACATATTCTCTTTTGGAAAGTGGGAGTTTCTACATCAGGTCTAATTTAGTTCCCTTGTTCCTACATTTTTTTCTACATGAACTATTCTTCAACAAGTTTCCACACAGGAAGCTTCCTCTCCTTTCCTCTTATGTCTTCCTCCTTCCTCTCTCCTCCTCTCTCCTTCCTCCCTCTTCCTCCTCTTGCCTCTCCTCTTCTATCCTTCTGTCTAGTGTCCTTAACTCTCCTCTTCCCTCTCCTTTCTCCTTTTCTCATTTCGTTTCCTCGTCTCCTTTTCTCTTCTTTCCTCCTCTTTCCTTTTCCTTTACTTCCTACCCCTCTTTCCTCTCATCTACTTCTCTCCTCCTCCTCCTCCTCCTTCCTCTCATCTCCTTCTTTCTCCTTCTCTCTCCTTTCCTCTTCCTCCTCCGCTCAGTTCAGCGCAGGTGGTCAGTCTCCCCCGGGTGCCGGTCTGCTACCTAATGCTGAGTTGATTAGGCTTTCTGAATAGCTCGTTTGGCCGCTACAAAAACCAAGAAGTCAGAATAAATCGTCAAGAGGGCAGTTGATGGTAATGACCGAGCCATCAATGATTGAGCCCATTCATGGCTGAAGTGGCTGGAGTGGGGGCTCCGCAGACCCTCCCTCCAGTCAGCCAGTCACTCTCAGCCCAGTGTGCATTGCTCTCATTACCGTACATTGTCTGGCCCTGTTCAAACGGCTGTAAGAAAGTGGGAGAGGGAGGAAAGGAAGGAAAAAGGTAGAGATTAAATAATGGCCTCGCTGGTGGTATGGATTAGTTGATGGTGAAGTGAAAGGAACCGGCCCCTACTTGTGTACAGCGTACGTATGCGGCAAGATGGTCAAGATCCAAGATGACGTGAACAAAGAGCGCTGAAACCACTCTATCAGATGTAGTCAGGATGATATGCAAGGCTTCATTCGATCTCTGATGGCTGCTTCTGCAAATCATCTAATTTGTTTGGGCCTGATTTTAAAATGTCTGCTCTATTTAGAGTCAAACACATCGTAATGTTTGAGAAGGAAAAGCACCACAAGACTAAACGGCTCTCCCTCTCCTCTCCACAGGCATGCCGGCGGCCTCCTTGGTGACCCCGGCTGACGTGATCAAGACGCGGCTGCAGGTGGCGGCGCGGGCCGGGCAGACCACCTACAGCGGCCTGGTGGACTGCTTCTGGAAGATTCTCCGAGAGGAGGGACCCCGGGCATTCTGGAAAGGAGCTGGAGGTAATGTTCGCTGAGGCCAATGTCTAATCTTAAAATGACTGTTTTACTTTTGTCCCGGGTTTCACCTCTCAGGCTACTGGAGTGTGGCCTGCTTTATTGGTGGAGGCTTCTGGGCCGTGTGCAGAGGCGGTCTAAAAACTCCTCTATTATCACTTCCTTTTTGGGGGGGAATCAGTTTTAATCTTCGTTTTTATTTGAGGGTTACAATACACTTACATTGGAGGCATTCTTTTACAAACATTGGCTAGTATGTCACTCTGGAAGAAGACCATTTTTTCCCCCCGATGTGTCATCGCAATGATTAAGGAATGTGTTCCCTTCATTTTTTGCAGTTTTTACCGTAGGCTATGCAATACTGTGTTTGGTAAAGAATTAAATTATTTATTTAATCTGGATGATGTCCAAAACAGATTAAGCTGTAAATATATGAAACACGTAAATTAGCCTGTTACTTAAAGATGTTTATTCAGATAGCATTATGTCATTTCAAGGCGCAGGATACATTTTCTTCTGTTTGTAATGTCATGGGCCACATGTGTTGGAATGACACTGAAATAAAAAACATTACGAATCAATTTAAATAAACACATGTCTTCTCCTTCCTGCAGCTCGTGTGTTCAGATCCTCTCCTCAGTTTGGAGTGACCTTGGTGACCTATGAACTCCTTCAGCGCTGGTTCTATGTTGACTTTGGAGGACAGTAAGTCTCTTTCTCTCTCATAGCTTCCATCTACCAGCTTCTATATATCTTACTGCCTTGCCTAAAGGAAGAATATTACATCTTCATCCTCCTATAAAACACCATCTGCTTCCAGAACAATGGGGTTAATTTGAACACACAGTAGCTGCGCTCGGTGCGTGTCCTCCCTCCTCCACCACAGAGAAAGAAATGTCCTCGAGATCCAAAAATAATTTCCGAGCACATTTGCTCACAGACTGAAGCTCTCACTCAGCGCTCTGGATGTGACAATTTTCTCAGACTGGAGAGTGTGTGATCAGGCAGGCAGCGCCCACATGTACTTTCCCCTCTTTGAGGATTAAGATGAGCTCGTTTTGCTCCTTAAAATAAGTCTCTCTGGGATAATTCACTCATTTCCTAAAGTTAAAAAGGTCCAGTGGGGAGAGAGGTGGTGAACCTCTCGGAATGAGAAAGCTCTTCTTTTAATGGACAGCTGTGCGGCACATGCGTGTATGACAGTGCGTGGCTCGTGGCTTCTTCATGTAGCTCAAGAACAAAATCATGTGCAGATCCGAGGAGAGTTTGGTTTGGGGAAGTTGATCTGTGCTGCTTTGCTGTCCGTGTTGGCAGCCGTTCACAAAGCTCTCTGTGAAATCAGCGAGGGATTGGATTTGTTCCGCCTTGGATTTTCTATTAACATGTTTATTTCTGTGGTGAACAGTGCTGAATATGATAATATTAATTCAAGATTTAAAAGGAAAATAAAACGCTCACTTTCCCCCGTGTTTGGTAAAACAACATCTTGCACAGTTTGTTGTTTCCCCTCTAACTCCACCACACCTCACCTTTTGTCTCTCCCTGTGCCCGGCGTCCTCCCCCGTCTCTCTCTCTCTCTCTCTCTCTCTCTCCCCACCACAGAAAGCCGGCTGGCTCAGAGCCCACCCCCAAGTCTCGGATCAGCCTCCCGGCGCCCAACCCCGACCACATCGGAGGCTTCAGGTTGGCCGTGGCCACGTTTGCTGGCATCGAGAACAAGTTTGGGCTCCATCTCCCACGCTACACGGTGGCCCCCCCCGCTGTGAGCAACCCCTGAACCTCCACGGGTAGCAGGGTTATTGCAAGAGAGGGCTTGAATGTAGTATTTTAAGTAATTGATTTTATTCGTATTATCATATATACATGTTAGTCTATATGCATCCCCATGGATTATTGGAGCGATTATCAGACACTCAAAGAAAACTCTTTGTCGGACTAGTGCAGCGTTTGTTTTAATCTTGAT